GGCATACAGTACCCAGGCTAAGTGACGGTCATGATTTGCAAGGTTTACAAGGTAGGATATTTGCATCACGTCCACACATACATCAAAAAGCATCATCAGCTTCACAGTTTTGTATTTACACAAAGATCATACTCAGATCCACAACCCCAAATCCCATTAAGGGACGGTTTCAATTGCCTAACACAGCTGGTTATCCAGCACATTCCAGCCTTTGATTGTCGTCTCACTTCTCCTTTTGTGCAATCCCTGCATTGAACGTGCTACACAACATGAATATGGTGACCAGATTTGTAAACCCTGTTTTTAATTTGTTATTTTCAGTGATGCCTATTGACACTTTGTTGTAAACAACTGAAAGACTACACAGTGTAGCAAAAACTAGAAAGACAACCTTTCATTTCAAAGTCAGAGGCACTGTAAGCAGGACCTGGCACCCATCCAGAGCCTCACCAAGATAAACACAAGTGTGAAGAGCCACCAGCATGAATCAGCCTCCCAAGGCCGCACCAAAGGCATCTGCAAGACTTGCTGAAATTCCCCATGCCCTGTAACATCACTGCAAAGTACCATAGATGAGACATGTAGGTATGAACGTGGAAACCTGCAAAACGGACAAATGAAACAGCAGATCTAAACTCCACGTTTAAGATCTTTTAGCACATGACCTTAAAACATTTTAAGAGTTGAAAAGGAAATCTCACTTCTCTTAAGAGAAAAAACACCTGACAGCTTCTCCGCCTTCTTCTGTGAAGCTGCTGACCTGCGAGCATTTGAAGATCATAGATGAGATCTTATTTGTCAAACTGGTGAATAATATTCTCCTCAACGCTTTCATCATGCTCACTTTCCTAAAGCATATACAGGGTAAGATATAAGAGCGATATCAGATAGTTACTATTTCAGACACACATAGCAAGAAGGGCTTAGCACTTAACGGGAAATGCAGATGCCCCATGACACGTGTGAGATAATGGCAACGAACCAGAACCTGGTCACAGGATCCCAGGCTCCAGAAGTTAAGCCTGTGCCAAGGCATTCGGAGAAACAAGTGCTGATGTAGATAAAGCAAAGGCGTTTACTTCTAAAGCAGGAGATGTATCGAGTGACACTAAGATAAAAGCAAGGTCATGAACCTCTGGGGAATCACTTGGTAGCATATTGCTAGTTGCTGTAGAAAGTACTGTTTAGCTGATGAATATTTATTTTAACAGAGTGATTTAATGAAAACATATATTTTGGAGATGCTAGAATGTATGTCATGAATCGCTCTCACAGTAATTTAACAGAAAAAGACAACTACATATCCATCTCGATGCCCATATATCCTTAAGCGTCACTTCTTGCTTTTCAGTCCAAGTACAAGGTAAAATGTAGCAGCAGTCAAAAATCAATACCACCTCATGAGGAAACATCACTGCTCCACACTATGTGATACTGAAGTAAGTTAAAGTGCCAACAGTTATCTTCTGTGGAAAGTCCATCCTATACCAGCCTAAGTAACAATCCCTCCATCAAATCTGTGTGGGTGTACCAATAAATGTCACAGCTACTTCTGAGGGACTCTGCAGAGACCCATGAACCTCCACACACAGCAGTAAATTAAGTTCAGGGTTGTGTCTCTTGTGTGCTTTTCAGTGCCTTAAATGGTTTTTAATGGGCTGAAGCATGCCTTGTTTGCTGTCATTCTTGCTCCCTGCCATCATTCTATCACTGTTGCTGGTAAACAAAGCACACAGTTTTGCGGATATATGGTCCCATCTTTTTTCTATTTTTCTTTCACAAACACACTTGGTTTTGTAAGTCAAGGAACAATAATACTAACAAATTAATTGCACTTACATGTGATCAGAGAGTAGAAAAAGAAAAAAAAAATCAATAGAATAACTGATTTTAATAGTCTAAAATACAGTGGAACCAAGACTTCAGAAAGAAAAAAAAATCATGATAGAAACTTGAAAAGGATTTTAACTTCTGATGTTGACTATAAAAGACAGACATGCTTATCTGCACATGGCTTGTGTAAACAAACAGATCTGGACGGTAGCTTGCTTAAACAGCAGTCCAAACGTGCCTTTTAAAAACAAACAAACAGAAAACACAACTCAGATCCTGAACCTGACTATAACTACGTCATGAGTTCAAAAGGATCATCCAGAAATAACTTATGGATGGATTTATAAGATTTGATTTGCAGGACCTGAGAATATGTGTGTGCTTTCAACAGTTTCTTGCAATTTTATCTTTCATGAGTTGAAAAGTTATCAAAACCAGGAGAATTTTACCACTTGTATGAGGCAGTATGTTCAGTGGCAGAAAGGCTTATAAAGGAGAGAACTTTCCTTCTGGAGCAAGGAGGGGAAGGAGAAATACAACAGAAAATTGAGAAAAGGGATATGTAGAAGATTAAAAACAAGATGTCAGAAAATACACACTAGAAAAACTATCAAATTCTGGTTCAAAACTTTTTATTTCAGTTTTGACTTCGGTACTTTTTCCCTATGCCTAGCTGTATGTGCCATGGGGATGAACTCCCTTTGCAGGAGCTTTCCGTGACCATTAGAGACTAAAACTTCAAGCACACGAAATGTAGTTATGACTAGACAAACATTGCAGTCAATTAATAAATTCTAAGCTAATCCCTCAGAACAGATCACTTCAGATTTTTAAGAACTATTCATCTACAGGAGCTAAACCTGACTATTAAAGAGATATCAAATCTGACACATCACGGCCAGGTCGGTGGAACTCAGTCCGTTTGGGACAGGGGCACCAGGGACAGCCCAGTGACGTACAAACACTGCAGCTGCAGCAGCACAACCTTTAGCCTTCTATTTCTGGGGCTTGCAAGCGTCATGGCTAAATTTAGAGTTTAAAACACCCCGACGTTGCCGGAATCAATGCGCGTCCGTCGAACTCCAAAACCGAAAGCGTTTCCAAAACCGAATTCGAGCACCAGCTCCCGGCGAACGCTGCCCACCGAGCGCCTGTGCGCCCCGACGTCCCTCCGAGGCACTTTGCCCATACGCAGCACGAAATTAATGTGTTCGACGAGCGAAACTGATAAAAAACAGGGATGTTTCCCACAAACTGATTTTGGGTGTCCCGT